AACCTATATATCATATAGGTTTTATATAGAAGACCCTGGTACTTAGCAACTTAGGTCTAAGTTCAATAACTTTTTCTTTAATGATAGGACCCCACATTTTTTGAGGATTGGTGTTTAAAAATAAAAAGATGAAATACCTTTATTCATTTGCTATAAGTATTTAAGATATTGTATGCATTTTTATTTTGGAAAAAATTTTAATACTAAGAAAATTTTTTCTTTCTTTTCATTTCTATTAGAGAACGAAAATTATACAAAGTAGCACTCTGGTGTCTGACAATTCTGACCTTAAAAAATAGCAATTCCATATCAATCAATTTACTCTCATGTTTTCCTTTTGGTCTTAGCTATGTGTATTAGGAAAGTCAGAACTAAACTTACTTCAAGTTTAGCTATATTACTAATTTTTATTAACATATTTACTTTTTTCTCACCAGGCTTTTGATTCTTTTCGATTTAAGAATCTGAGAGTAAGACAAAAATACTTTTGGAGGGAAGGAGTGTATAGGTAGTAATAAAATATTCTTTTCTACCCATGAAAGCTATCAGAAAGACTAAACAAGATAACATACTCGTATGTGAAGGTACTTTGCAACCTAAATCCTGAAATTTGTTTGTTGTGAGACAATAAATTTTTTTTCCTTTTTTTTTTTTTTTTTTTAGAGACAGAGTCTTAACTTTGTCACCTTTGGTAGAGTGCTGTGAAGTCACTGCTCACAGCAACCTCCAGCTCTTGGGCTTAGGTGATTCTCTTGTCTCAGCCTTCTGAGTAGTTGGGACTATAGGCACCTGCCACAATGCCCGGCTATTTTTTGTTGCAGTTTGGCTGGGGCCAGGTTTGAACCTGCCACCCTCGGTATATGGAGCCAGTGCCCTACTCACTGAGCCACAGGTGCTGCCCGTGAGACAGTAATTTTGAAGCCATTGATTTTCAAGTCACTGTACATTTTGGTTTTCTTCCTACAACTTTCAATCTCAACATTTAAAATCTTCAAGTTCTCCCCATAACATCTGGATAAGATTTAAAATTGGTCTATAGTTAGTTCGCAAGCTTCTCCCTGGTTCCCATATGTCTTCATATTCACACACTTGTAGTTCCCTAAATCTGTTATCTTCTTTTATGTCTCCAAGTCTCTGATCATGATATATCTTTGATCTGGAATGCTTATATTTATTGTTCTAGCTGAATAAATCTTATTTCAGGGTTCAGTTCAAGCATCCCTTTAAAATAATGGCCTTAATTAAATCTCACCTGAACTATTACTTTAGCTTCCCAATTAGTTCCCTTAGCTTTAATTTGTCATTTCTTTAGTTCAAGTCCCATCACATCAAAATAATGCTGAAAAATACAACTCTCTTTTGACTTCAATGTAAGGTCTAAATCCTTGGCCTTAAGGATGGCATTAAAGACCTTCATTGTTAGGTCTAACCCTATCTCATAATGTAGAAGAAAAGAGAAAAGATATGATGGAAATGAGGGGAAAAATATTTGGTAAACGTACCATTATCTTTAATGGGGACTTGGGATGAAGAATTTCCAGAACTATGCATAGTCATTCCTGTAGTATAAATTAAATTATTAGACATTTTATAAGATGGTCAGATACTAGATATAGAAGTAATTCTGATAAGTTCATAAAAACTTATTGAAACATTAAGGCAGCAACATCATTTTTTATTTACATTGAGAAAAATATGTCTTCCCACAATGGGCATTTTTTACAATTTTAAAATCATGGTTAAGCATATTGACTTGTTTCAACAGTGTAAACTTAAACACAAATACATTTTGTTTTTCTTTTGTTTTTTGGAGACAGAGTCTCACTTTGTCTCCTTTGGTAGAGTATTGTGGTATCATAGCTCACAGTAACCCCAAACTCTTAGGCTCAAGCGATTTTGTCTTGCCTCAGCCTCCTAAGTAGCAGGGACTTCAGGTGCCAGCCGCAACACCTGGCTATTTTTTAGAGATGAGGTGCACTCTGGCTCAGGTTGGTCTAGAACCTGTGAGCTCAGGTAATCCACACACCTTGGTCTCTCAGAGTGCTAGGATTACAGGTGTAAGCCACCATGCTCTGCCCACAAATATATTTTGATATATCAAATATGAAATGAGGAAACGGAAATAAGTTTTGCATTTGTCCAAATGTTAAGAGGAAATTTAATATTCAATAAGAATGAATAATTTAAATTAAAAATGCAAAAGATTATCCTTTTGAGTTTATCCATCTTTCTATAAAATATTTTCTATCCTTCTGCTATGTGGTGAATTTTCGTGTAGAACAAAGCCTTCCTAATGAGACTAGGTTAGTATCTACGAAATCCCATTTTATGTGAACATACTTTGAAAAGTATTTCCTAAAAAGTTGGGTCGGGTGTGTAGTGGCTCATGCCTGAAATTCCAGAGAAGGTGGGAGGATCACTTGAGCTCAGGAGTTGAAGATCAGCCTGAGCAAGAGTGACCTGTCTCTATTAAAAATAGAAAAAATTAGCCAGGCATGGTGGCCCGCACTGCCTGTATTCCCAGGTACTCAGAAGGCTGAGGCAGAATTGCTTGAGCCCAGGGGTTTGAGGTTGCATTGAGCTATGATGACCCCATTGACTCTACCCAGGGTGACTCTGTCTCAAAAAAAAAAAAAAGAAAATCAAATCAGTCTCTTAGACTATTTTTAACATACAGGGTTACCTATCAGATGAAATCTTGCTTTTTATCTGTTTAATTTTTTTTAACTGATCAACTTAGGTTGATGAAAGTATAATCTTTGAAAATTGTGAAAGCCTATATTAATAAAGTAATGTTGATTTCCATATATATACACACACACACACACACACACACATATTTATCTACTATAAAGTTCTCCTGTGACTTCATTTATTCCACATACCCCCAATCCAATTACAGGATTAAAACAATTTTTAAAATTTGCATTATTAGGGGTGAATTAGCAAATTTTAGGCTTAAGGAAAGAATTAAGTAGTAGTATTTGGTAAAACACCGGAAGGGGCTCTCTTTGCTTCCCTTTGTCTCCCCCTCTATGTCATATTTTAAGTAGTAGTTCAGGTATCTGTGCTTGAACATCTGCTCTTCTGCAAGATTGACTATGGTGTATATCCCTTTCAAGACGCAATAGGAAAGCTATATTATTTATCTTACAAGGCAGCATCTTAAATAATTAATAGGCTCCAATCTGCTGGGAGAATCTGAAGAAATGTAAATCAACTAAGACTTTGTGTCTACCAACCACAGCACACTTCATAAAATTATCTAAGTTTTTAGAGACAATTCTGTTCAGACTAAACTGAAAGCATCCTAAATAAATCTTTCTTCAAAAAATACAGCATTACCCTAGACCACTCACATAGGCTTGTAAGGAAAAGCCAAAAGAAGGTGATCCAATGCAATGGTGTAAGATGGGGTTGTCTCTGTACAACCACCCTGGCTATCATGACCAAGAAGCAGCTAAGGGAAAGTCTGTGCCATGAAGCAATCACCTGTTAAGTAAATTGATGATTTGGTGCATTTTAAGTAACCTAGACGTTTATATTCAGTTTTGGCAGTTAGGACATAGGACCCCAAATAATTTCTAGATAATTAACATGATCTCATTCACTTCTCTCTGAGCATGAGGTACAGGACAAAGAAGGTAAGCTGGTTTATGCTGACCTAGAACACATGCTTGACCAGGGTCTTCAAAGGAAGAGGAGTCTGATTCATGTTTCTTCCTTTCAGGACTTCTATTTAAACTCGCAACAGACTTTGAACTAAAGAGGGAAAAGGAAGGTAGGAGGGAAGTGTCAATGTAAAAAAAATATGGTGAAAATAATAAAATGTCAAAACAAAAACAAATGTATGAAATGTAGAATTTCTGAATAGGTAGTTTGGGTAAGTTAATCATATTCTTACTTATTAAGTTTTGTCAATCCTGCCAAAGATTCTGTGTCAGATCTTGCCATCTGGTGAAAAGGTTTTCCCACCAACTCTGCAACGGTTTGTGGTGGGGAGTCCAGGTTAACAATGACATTTTTCCGATGAGGATATAGAGAAGCCTGACTGAGATCATGGTATGATTTACTTATCCCTCTAGGTTTTTCCTCCCATGAAGCTTTATCACTCTTCTCTTTTGAACTGTTTTGCAATGGCTGGTAAAGCGACAGCTCAGAGCAGGATAGCCTCTTCAGAATTTCAGCTTGAACTGATAAAGGTCGAACGGCAAGTTTGTTCAGGGTGCTGCCGGCCAGACTGCCAGTGCTGACTGCTTGTCCCATATTAAATCCTCTAACGGACTCTGCTTGGAGATTCAGGCTCCTAAACGAAGCTCTCTCTACAAGGAAATAGGATTGCTTTACATGACGGAAACACTGTGCAGTACCTTTACGAGAAGGATTATTTTAATAAATAAAAGACAGCATGCAGTTTTTCATCTTTTTGATTGCCAGCATATGTAGGTAGCTTTCAAAGTATGGCAATCAGGGTCTTGTTCAAGAGGAGGTGTGAAGATCCTGGTTTTCATACCATCTCTCCATCCTTTTAACTTTCTCATTGCTGCAGCCGACTCAATGTTTCCTGCTTCCTTTAATGATTCTCATAGATCCAGTAATATTTTGGGCTCAGGCTTGCTGATCCCAAATTCCTTACTGATTTCAGTTAGAA